TAATAACAAAGTTATATTCGTATTCAGTAAAGAAGATCAATCTGAGTTATAGAGATTTGGTATTCTGTTAAATTTATTAGATTTAGCCATTTTCTTTCATTCTAATTTAAGTTGAATATATTTGAACATTCCCATAAAAGATGTCGTAATTATGAAAAACATGATGATGGCCGATGATATCTTTTCTTTTGACAGGAAATCTTTTTATTCTTATATTTTCCAATAGAACATTATTGGTAGTACGTATGCAATCTATATGATAAATTAAGAGTACTACTAAACTTTACCATTGGATCAGCCGTATAACCTTTTATAAAAATTGCTTCTCCAATAGATGGTATGAATAGCGCGAATAACAAGGAAAATATTAATATGCCCATGGTACAATTAAAGTTTTCTGAAAAATTCATTTTAATTCCACCTTTCATCAATTATTCAAGAGTCTCCTTTGCAGGCAGTACATAAAGTGGACTTATAGCAAGTATTGAAAAAAATTGAGCTAGATTAGCCTAAGTATCATTAGTTCAAAATTAATATTTTACAAGCAATATTATTTTACTATTGCCGAAGTTTGCAATTAGTATATTTTGCTTGACTATTGCATCTTTATCATCTATGAATATAAGGTAGCCAAATACTCCTACCGCTAGGTACATTAGAATTGATATCGTAGTGCCAACTATCATAACTCTCTTCATCTTCCTACTACTTTTATTCTTCAATTCATTGAAAACCATAGGAACACTAGCCTGATTGCAAAATGAGAAAAATATCATGGGAAAAGAATTTAATGCACCATCAATAGAAAACTATAAAGTTATTAGTGATAGAAATCTCACATTAAATAAATGTGCTTTTTAAATTGTTTATAGAGGAGCTGGGACCAATTTTGCAAATGTAGACACAGCAAAGCACTCCAAATATTGAAGCATACCTTAATGCGTTCAATCTTCTTGGCAAAGAAAGGGGTAGAAGTAAAACGAACTAAGTATTATTTCTTTCAATAATTTTAATATATCTTACAGTCAGAACTGATCCCCAAAATATATGCCCTGCCTTGTTATTATCTAGAAAGTAAGGGAGCCCATCAATTTGAAGTATTTAGTTGATAAGGACTGGCATTTATTCTTTTAGCTATAATAATTTTTAAGACCCTAAAAATTACATATACAATATAGGAAATAAGGCAACTAATTAGGCAAGAAAATATTGCAATAGAGGTTAATTTCTTCATGTGAGGTCCAAGAATTGCATTAGAGATCTCCTCGTATTTGCTCTTCTTTGTTAAGATACTCGCTTCAACAATATATAAGCAAGTTTGATAATTGATTATACCTCCAGCAATAATGAGCAGAGTTCCAAATATTAAACCGTTTGCATATATTACGTAAGGAATCGCTAATATTCCTATTCCAAGCTAAGTTGCAACGAAAGAAAAAATAGAACTTATTTCTGATGAATTTAAATGCTTTTTTTCTAAATGAATATCTGTAGGCACGACCAGATTGGGGATTTCGTATTTTAAATTATTTTTATGATTACCTCATACGCTTAGATTTTAGTCATGAATAAAGCTTTCTTATCTCAAAAGAGTGTCATAATCTTCTTCATTAAGTTTTAGAGGACTGCTTTAGAGGTCAAATATACTTAGATTATAGTTCTGGAGATCTTATTATTTATTACTGAGTCCTTAAGCCTTTTATATCTTTTGTTCAAATTCTATTTCTTGCAGCGAGTTGATTGATTATAGCATGCTAAACTTTAAACTTTTATATGGAGAGTTATTAAATTTAGGAATATAAAAATAAGAGATTGAGATTAAATCTTTAAATGAAGATGAAAAATTAAAAAATGTCTCATTTCATTTGATTTTCGTTTTAAATACTCCATGGGGTTTTGGGGTTTTGGGGTTTTGGGG